TCATAAACGGGTCATGGATTTTATCAAATGCCTTTTCTGCATCTATTGATATGATCATGTGATTTTTATCTTTCATTTTATTTATATGATATATAATGTTTACTGATTTACAAATATTGTACTAACCTTGCATCCCTAGAATAAATCCCACTTGATCACAGTGTAAGATCTTTTTAATCCGGTATGCGAATATTTTGTTGAGCATTTTAGCAGCAAGGTAATTTTTTAAGTGGGAATTAAATCTCAACTTACATAAGTATTTGTTCCAATACTGATTAAAAACACCAAAACTTATTCCCTTTAATTTATTTCACCAGTTAATTTGTTAAACAGAAGAAGCAGATATTAGATTTTTATGCCTGGTTTTTGAAACGTTCCCAATAATTCAAGAAGCTTGCATTGGAGTTTATAAACGTTAGATCTCTTGAATGCAAAGTTTTTGTGCTAAGCCTCTGAGAACTATGAATTTTTAAATATCTAATATATACTGATATCAGACATGAGAATCTACGGTAAAATAAATACATTAATTAATTTAGATTTAAAAAACATTTTCTTCTCCATTGCCATATGGATTTACCTCAAACATTTAATAAATTAGTGATTTCAAGAAAACTGGAGTCCTGTGAGGACATAGTGAGTAGACAAAAATCTATGAACTAGGAAGTGGGCTCTTGTCAGACATGAAATCTGCCAGTACTGGGAACTTCACAGCCTCCAGAATGGTGAGAAATAAATATTTGTTGTTAAAGCTATTAAGTCTATGGTTTTTTTGTTATAGCAGCCTGAGCAGACTAAGACAGAGAGATGAATGTGGCTGATACCTTCCTTCTACCCTTTACTCTCTTGAAAGCTGATGTCTAGAGTCCTGGCAACTATTTTTAATTTTAAATTGATTTCAGGAAAAGAGGAAAAGAAAGGGGAAAATCAGTGTCAGATAGAAGCATCAATTGTGTTTTGTTTTTTAAATATATTTTATTGATTTTTTACAAAGAGGAGGAGAGAGGGATAGAGAGCTAGAAACGTCGATGAGAGAGAAACATTGACCAGCTGCCTCTTGCACACCCGCTACTGGGGATGTGCCCGCAACCAATGTACATGCCCTTGACAGGAATCGAACCTGGGACCTTTCAGTCCAGAGACTGACGCTCTATCACTGAGCCAAACCGGTTTCGGCTAGAAGCATCAATTGTTGTGTCCTGTATGCACCCTGACCAGAGATCGAACCTGCAACCTTGGTTATGTGCCTTGATTGGGAATAGAGCCCATGGCCTTTCAGTATATGATAGGATGCTCCAACTGTGCCACACCAGCCTGGGCCAGGAAAGTATTTTTTAACTTTGAATTATGCACAAAGAGTATTGGCCTAGACTTTAATGACAATACTCCTTACATCCAAAATTGTTGTGTGAAAAAAAACCTTATTTGAGTCACTGTTGGTTAAGTGTTCTATAATGTGCAGCCCAAATAGTAGACAACTGCTAGAGATAGTATCCTACAAAATAAACGAGTAATAGGCAAATTAACCATCACTCTACTATACCCACATACCATGCCCACCAGCCAATCAGAGCGAATATATAAATAAACCTAACCAAGATGTCTACATCCACAGAGAGCAGGAGGGAGGCTTGGGTTTCCCAGGCAATGGAGGAAGCCAAGCTTTCCACCTGCCCTAGCCGGCCTAAGCCTCCACTCAAGGCTACAAAGTTTCAATTATAGAAGGTAAACAAATCCGAACAGAAATGGCAGCAGCCACTGAGATGGAAAGAGTGGGAGGTTAGGGATGCCCCTGGCAATGGAAGAAGCAAAGCTTTCCGCACACCCTAGCCTGCCCAGGCCTCTGCTTAAGGCTACAAAGTTTCAATTGTAGAAGGTAAATAAATTACAGATACCAGGGCCTCCACTTGGGTTGCCAGGGGGCATGGTTGGCCTACAAACCACCGCAGGCCCCTCTCTCAGGCCGCCTCACATCCCAAGGGAACCCCCACCCTGATCCGGGACACCCTTCAAGGCAAACCAGCTGGCCCCCACCTATGCACCAGGCCTTTATCCTATCTAATAAGAGTAATATGTAGATTGACCATCACTCCAAAACACAATATGGCTGCCCTCATATGGTCAAAGATCCTGTCCTATGTGGACACAAGATGGCCACCACAAGATGGCCAGCAGGGGAGGGCAGTTGAGAGGGATCAGGCCTGCGAGGAAGGGCAGTTGCAGACAATCAACCCTGCAGGGGAGAGCAGTCACGGGTGACCAGGCCAGCAGAGGAGGGAAGTTGGGGGCAAACAGGCTGGCAGGGGAGCAGTTAGACATCAATCAGGCTGTCATGGGAGTGATTAGGGGGTGATCAGGCTGGCAGGCAAAAGCAATTAGGGGCAATCAGGAAGGAAGACAGGTGAGAAGTTAGGGCCAGCAGTCATGTATTGTGAGAGGGATGTGTGACTGACCTTTTAGACCTGATCCTGCTGGGATCAGGTCTAAAAGGTCAGTCGGACATCCCTCGAGGTGTTCCAGATTGGAGAGGGTTCAGGGTGGGCTGAGAGACAATCCCCCACCACCCCCGTGCATGAATTTCGTTTACCAGACCTCTAGTAATTCTATATGAAGCAATAATTTAAAAATACAAATTATGAATTAAACTGATTTCCTGCCTACATTATTTCAATATTTTCAACAGATATTTACCAAGAGTTGATGCCTTATAAGAAAAAATATAAAGTATCACTAGATCTTACTTAAAGACTTAACTATGAAGACCCTACTTACATAATACAGATGATAATAATTTTCACTGAGTTATCAGAGGACAAATACTAAAAGGATTCACAGAATTAAAATAAAGGATGCACAGAATTGTATTTTTATTTACAGTATCAAGAAATACTGTATTCTTGCCATTGTTAGAGAATGAAACAAAATTTCTTTGAGTGTGTTTTTAAAAACTGATTTCAAGTTTTAAAAGCTCTTCATCCCAAGATTATACTAATCATTTGACTGGATATTTAAAAAAAAATCTTTTTATTGATTTCAGAGAGGAAGGGAAAGAGGGAGAGACAGAAACATCAATGATATGAGAAAATAATTGATTGGCTGTCTCCTGTATGCCCCCTACTGGGGATTGACCCAAAACCTGGGCATGTATCCTTGACTGGAATCAAACCTGGGACCCTTCAGTCCGAAGGCCGACACTTTATTTGCTGAGTCAAACCGGCTAAGGCTGGAATTTTTCATTTTTATAGTTTTATTGTGTATTTTTGTTAACCATTTTAATCTGGCCAGAATTAATTTTTAATAGTGTGATGGTGTGAGAGAGAGATCAAACTTTCTTATTTTAACAGTGTTCCCAACTATATATTGGGTTATTTATCCTCTCTTCATTTATTTGAGCTGCCATCATTCATCACTCAATGGTCATGTACATGTGTATATGTATACAGGATTGGGCAAAAATAGGTTTATAGTTATGAATATGGAATACAAAGTTTATCTTGCACTATTTTTACTAGAGGCCCAGTGCATGAATTTGTGCTTATTTTAACACAGTGTTCCCAACTATATATTGGGTTATTTATCCTCTCTTCATTTATTTGAGCTGCCACCATTCATCACTCAATGGTCATGTACATGTGTATATATATACAGGATTGGGCAAAAATAGGTTTCTAGTTATGAATATGGAATACAAAGTTTATCTTGCACTATTTTTACTAGAGGCCCAGTGCATGAATTTGTGCACTAGTGGTGTCCCTTGGCCTGGCCTGCAGGATTGGGCTGAAACCAGCTCTCAGACATCCCTCAAGGGGTCTCAAATTGCAAGAAGGCACAGGGCAGACAAAGGGACCCCACCAGTGCATGATAGGAGCCAGGGAGGAATGTAGGAGGTTGGCCAGCCAGGGAGGGACTGTGGAAGGGCTTCAGAGCATGTCAGGCCCATCTTGCTCAAGTCTCAATTGGTTGAAACCCAGCAGCAAGCTAACCTACCAGTTGAAGCATCTGCCCCCTGGTAGTCAGTGCACATCATAGTGACTGGTCAACAGGTCGACTGTCAACTCCCTGGTGGTCAGTGCACGTCATAGTGAGCAGTTGATTGGTCTTAATCATATCATTAGCATATTACTCTTTGATTGAGCAGGCTTAGCATATCATTAGCATATTATGCTTTGATTGAATGGCAGACTGGATGACTAGACATTTAGCGTATTAGGCTTTTATTATATAGGATTAATTTTATTATTTTTCATATGAATAACTATAAACCTACTTTTGTCCCTGTCTGTCTTGCCAAATTTGGAATGTTTTCAGTCATTATTTCTTTGAATATTTTTCAGCTCCTCATTCTTTCTCTTCTACTGAGGATATAGTAGTATTTGTCTCACAAGTCCATGAGGCTCTGTTTTTTCTCCCTCAGTCTTTTTCTCTCTGCTGAGCAGACTAAGTAAAATCTATTGGTCAGAATTCAGCTTTCTGGTTTTATCCTCTGTCATTTTTACTCTGCTATTGAACCCATCCAGTAAGTTCTTATTTCAGTTATATTTTTAGTTTTATAGTTTACAATTTTTAACAAGAAATTGGTGTCTTTTTAAAAAATATATTTTTTTAATTGAGCAAGGGAGGAGAGAGAGAGAAAAATATCAATGATGAGAGAGAATCATTGATTGGCTACCTCCTGCAACCCTTTTAGGGGATTAAACTCAAAACACATCCCCCCACAAAAAAAAAGAAAGAAAACTGTACCAGTTTTATACAACAATTTTCCTCAATTAAAAAAGTTATATCATTAAAAAATTTTGCCAAAAATGAATAAATAAAAACCCTGTTGAATATATTTGTTTTTTTCTATTATTACCTTTAGATATCAGAGACAATAACAAAATAAATGTCTCTTTTCTGATTTATCAATATATGAAGTAAAAATCAGACCTTTCACTCATAAGAAATTTCTGAAGATGTTAATACTTATTAAAATGCTCTAATACCACTTTTCTTTAACTTACCCTCAAAGTATGGTTTTCTTGTGCTAATAAATGATGTAGTTCTTCATGTAGCGTTATAACTTCCAGAAATTGTCCCCATAAAGCCATTAGAAGTGAACAAAGTTGTGCAAGATTCATATTTATATGTTCTGCCAGTTCATCAGGGTTTTCTATTTTCTGAAATGACAAAAAAAACAAACCCTTAACTGCTCTCTGAGACTTATTATAACGCACCTAAAAATAATACATTATTGAGAATATTAATACAAAGGCACATTTTTAGTTTTAAAAAGAAATATGTGCGTATGTGTAGAAAAAAAACTGACCTGTGGTTTTTTTCTATTTGATAATTACTATAGCAATTTTCAACGACTTAACAAATATTTTAATATCAGAGGCATCTTATAACTGCAATAATGTCAAATCCAGTACAAAATTATAAATCAGGATTCTATAGAGCATGATCAACTTCAAATGCTAAAAACTTGGAATTTTAAATACAATATACAAATCATACTGAAAGTTAGAAAATTTTTAAAAGATGAAATCTTAATTTTTTTTTTCTCTCCAATCAGCAAATGTAAAGAACTAAAAAAGATCTGTAAAGGACTATCTATAGTACTGCTTTTGCATCACTCCTATGTTTCTTACATTTCATTTTGCTGATGATAATTCTTTTACACAGTTGTCAAACACTTTTTCTCTTTATAATATTCATCTACTGTTTATTAAACACATTTTAAATGTTAGGGCTTAACATTCTACAAATACAAAGATTAATATGAGAAGCTCACAGTCTAGTGAGGAAAAAGTGGTGGGTAAACAATTATGATATTATGAGTGTTCTAACAGTGGTATTAAATTATTCCATTTATTTAAATATTCACCTAAACTGATGATAAGAGTTCTAGGTTATACTATGGAAGTAGATTCTATTTATTTAAATATTCACCTAAAGTTAGGAGTTCTAGGTTATACTATGGAACTAGATTATACAGAATCTTATGAAAAGCATTTGGTTTTCTTGAATGATAAAAGAAGGATTTTTGAATAAAGTGTGTGTGTATGTATGTGTGTGTGTGTGTGTGTGTGTGTGTGTGTGTGTGTATATCACCAAGGATGACTGCTTCTCTTTTGGACAAACATTTTTATTATGAGGACAGGTTTTTCTTTATTTCACCAAGATGGTAGTCAGTTTTCAAGAAGATAATTTCTTACTGCAAAAATTTTGTATTCAATTACTAGTAATACTAGGACACCTACTCTAAATATATGGATAGATGCTGATTTCATTTCCCTACCCTAAGGAAGGCAGAAGTAGTATATCGAGTTTGAAGTTGAAAAGTCACTCCCATGGTACCATCTTAATACCACGGACAGCTAAATTTATATCTCTGAATCACATCTCTTTTGACCTATTACCTACTGGATGACTGTACCTGGACATGAAAATAAAGTTGCTCAAGTTCAAATTGTCCCAAATTATACTAATTATATCTCCATACCTTGTAATTATTAATTTTATTTCTCAGAGATCAAGGCACCACAGTTCTGAGAGAGGACTTTAGTATGTTCATTTTGGAAAAGCAACTCTTAAAGTATAAATAAGCTACACCTCTTCTGGTTTATATAAATCTTTATACAAATCTTTAAATGTTAATAATAAATTACTTTTATGTTAAAAAGAAAATTAGTATTAAGTTTGAGAAGGTATTTTATACTTATTAATGTAGGAATAAGATCTTACAGTTGTGTTTTTTAAAATAGCCTTGATTATCATATCTTACATGGAATATACACTATTTAAAAACATGTATTGAGTTCGTTTGATTACAAAGATTTTTTTAGTGCCATTTTCACTGAATATCACAATATGAACATTTTCCTACATCATCAAACATTTGTTGAAAGTACCATTTTAAAGTTGTGCAAAAATGTGACCTATTGAAATAAAACAAATTTTCATTTCTGAATATCATTTTATAAAAATATGCTAGTTTAAGTGATGCTTTAAAAACTTGTCTAGAAGTTCTTTGAGTAAACTAATTGAAAAAATTATAACACTACATGAAGAACTACATCATTTATTAGCACAAGAAAACCATAGGTCTTTCAATAGGTCACATTTTTGCACACTTTTGATCTGTTGACTTCTATTTCACTTAAATGCAGAATAACATACATTTTAAAGATAATTTTAACTTCACGCTCCAGTCAAATGTCTTTTGACTGTGCTTCTACCATAAGCAACAATTTTGTTTTTGCATTTTAGAAAAGATAATTAATTTACTAAGTTTTCTTAGACACAACTTTTAGAATAAAAAACATAATCCACTCAAATGACTTGATCATATGAATTTTAAAAATCCAAGTACCTTAACTTCTTCACATAGTTCAGTAAGCCGAGCTTCTACATCCATATCCTCTGAAAGGATTAAAGAGCAATTAGAGAAAGTATTTCAATGTTTTACCTGAAAACTATTTTTGAAATTATATAAATTAAATTACCTTTTAAAAACCAGAAATATTTTGAGTATATCTCCATACCTTGTAATTATTAATTTTATGTATTAATTTTATGTATTAATTTTATGTAGGCAATGTGATAATCATTAAATTCTATGCTCTATTAAATAGAGTGCTTCAGTTCCCATAAGAGGCTAACACAGTCAAGGAAATATTGCCTATTTACCTAAAATAACATGCACTGTTACATCACAGAAAAGACAAAACATATAATTAGGTTTTATTGTATTTCACATATTAAAAATTTCACTAAAGCTTAGTAGTCTGTCTTTTATTGCTTAAAGAGAGTTTAATTGATCCTTCTCACACAAAGGCAAGAATACTTTCTTTAAAATCCTGAATTCACTCATCAACTTACTATCTCATAAGGCATACTGAATGTTTACTACTTGAAAAAAAGAATGATAAACATTTAATTTGATAAAATAAGCAGTTACAATTATACAGTAAATACAACCAAACTATGCTGTAAACGACAGATGTTCTACTGGTAACTAAAACTAGTAGAACATATGTTTTGTAATTGACAAAATATATAAATAAAATTATATTTAGTTATTAAAATATACCAAGAAATAGATTACAAATTTGGTCAACCCACTGATAACTAAAGAAATCTGGTAAGATTTCACAAATTATTTCATTGTCAGATAAATCAGCAGCTTCTAATATTAAGTTTTCCAAAATTGAAAAGAAATCAGCAGCAGACCCTATATTAAAATCATAACTTTCATATGCCAATACTGTTTTCACATTACTCATGATCTTTTCCTGTGATAGAAAAAGTTTTAGTAGTTACATATCCTAGAAATTTTTTAAAAATGAAAATTTTTTTAAAGTTTGAGTTTTGATACTTTTTAAAATCTTTACATAAAGGATCCAAATGCATAAACTGGTACATTTATATTATGGCTAGTGAAAGCTACTTCAATGTAACCAATATCTTAAAGAATGTTTAAAAGCAAAACTTAACCTCAAAATCTTTTGAGTTCAAACGACTTCAAAATCATTTAGGAGTGTTATCTGAGTTTAAAATTCTACTTCAATTAATTTTTCTTCTTAACATTATACATACACACACACACACACAACACACACACACACACAATTTTATAGAAATGTATAAATGTTATATATTATCTTACATAAAATAATTTATTTTAGCTCCTCCTGCTAATCCTAGGTTAGTACCTTGAACATATTTATCAAACATACATACATATACATATATTAAGTTTTGGAGTTGCTGTTTTACAAAAATGGGGTATTTTACACATTTTTAGCAATTTGCCTTTTTCTTTCTCTCAGTACTCCATGAAAATCTGGAGCCCTAAAACATTTTCTAAAATGGATGCATAATATTCCTTGTGTGAGTACCGCATAATTTCTTCTATACTCTACTTTGCCAGATGATGAACATTTATTTTGAGTGTTTTAACACTAAGAACAATATAACAATAAACATGCTTATACATATATCTTTACATACTAGTACTCTTATTTCTGTTATATAGATTAACTAAAGTGGGATTGTTAGGTCAAAGAGTAAAGTCTATTTTCTAAATCCATCCATTCATTCATCTATTCTGTTATTCAACAGATATATGTAACATAGCACAGAAAATGCCAATATAATGTTAGCATTTATGAATCAAAGATATCTTAATAGAAGTATTATTTAATAAAAGTATTAATAAAATTATAATTTAATTCATTACAGTTCAGTTTTAAATCAAGTCTTTTCCCACAACTAAAAACTGCGCCCTTCTTTATATAGGCCTTATTACATAAGTAGCATTCTGTAAAATTATTTAAAATGTAAATTGACAGGCTTACAAGTTTATATGAGAATTTTATATATATATGTTTTCTAGTACAACTGCTTATTCTTTTTTTTTTTTCTTAAAGATTTTTATTAAAGGTATTGGGAGAGAAGTATATTTTTATTGCTAGAAAGAACACTAACACATTTCAAACAATCAAAGCACAATATGATAATGATATACTAAGGCTGCTCAACCACTCGCTATGACATGCAGTGACCACCAGGGTTTAGACAACCAGTCTCTATGTTGTGCATTGACCACCAGGAGGCAGATGCTCCAACTGGTAAGTTAGCTTGCTGCTGGAGTCCAGCCAATCAGGATTGAGCGAGATGGGCCCTGGAGACCTCTTCTGGTCCTTCCCTGGCTGGCCAACCTCCCATGTCTCTTCCCGGCCCTGATCATGCACTGGTAGGGTCCCTCAGCCTGGGTTGTGTCCTCTTGCAATTTAGGACTACTTGAGGGATGTCAGAGAGCTGGTTTCAGCCCAATACTTCAGGCCAGGCTGAGGGACCCCACTAGTGCACAAGTTCATGTACTGAGCCTCTAGTGAGAATATAAAATTGTATTCCAAAGTAGTGATTATAACAAACCTTCAACTTTGTTTTTTCTTCCTGATAAGTTTTAGTGAAAACTGACCCAACTTAAGTATTCTGAGCTAGTTGTCATCTGAGAAATGTTAAGGAAGATTTTGGTTCCTTAATTTCCTTTTGTTTATAATCCTAAAAACTAGGAAACACGGTGATTTGATTTTATTTTTTCTTACTATAGTCTTTCATAACTTTTTAGAAATGTAATTGGGATGGTCTATCCAGCTCAAAGTAAAAACTTTCAGTATACTTGTAAAAAAGATAGTAAATTAAATTCTAGTTAATAACAAACTAAAATATATCAATAAATTAAGGAGATTAAAATATTTCCTTTACAAATGTAACATACTAGATGGTACTGATACTACTTAACTTTTTAAATTTAGAATAAAAAATAAAAGCAAAATGATATAAAAAGCAAAACCAGATAATAAAGATGTTTCTCTTCTTTATTTCTGTAATGCATGAAACTAACTTCAGTTTTTAAACCACATTTCATTATCATCAGTAATACCTAAAGATAAATTGAAGGCAATATAATTAAATCAACAAATTCTGGCAATAAATATGGTTTCCAAAAAGTGCTGTTTGTGGGATTCTAGAAGAAAATAGAAAGAGCCAAAGAAATCTTTGCATTTATCATTTCTAGTTTTAAATAAAAACTTCAATATTACAAATTAAGAAATTAACCAAAGCTTATCTACAAATCAAATTCTAAAAGTTCTTAAGTAATGGTGGTAGAAACACACTATATAAATACATATTTATAAAATTTTGACACTAATTTAGAGCAAAATTTAGTACTAATTAAAAGGGATTATTTACTTAACCTATTTATAAACATACCTAGACAGGTGTCTTTCTGGGATCGTGGCTGTTTTCTTCTGAGGAGGCGTTCATAAAGGACCTGCATGTTGGCTTTGGCTAGTTATAAGGATTGCACACAGCACTAGTTACTATACTCCTTTTACAACAAAATTTATTAGAATTTCCAAAGTTATTATTAATAGATTTAGCATTGATCTGATAATGCAATTAGATTAGAATTCTGAAGCAGAATCTTTGAGTTAGTTAATTAGCTTATTAGAGTTACAAATGATGTACATTCAAGTTTATATTACTATATTCTCTTTCCTATTTAAATGTACGCGCCACTCAACATTTCATAATCGATATTTTTATGTTTTAATTTTTTAGACTCAGAATTTTAGAGATGGCAGTGATCTCAGAGATCAGCTAAGTCAAACCCTTGCTTTTACAAGTGTAGATATTGGAGCCCAGACCAACACTTGCCAAAGCCTAGATTCCAGAACTTGTGACTCCCATTTTAGTAAGAGTTCTTGGCACCAAACCAATATTTAACTATATGCCATAAAAAAAAAATGTACATCATTCATCTAGGAGAAAATAAAAAGGCAAAAGCAGAAAGGAATTCAAGGCACATTTTAAAAGGCAAAGCAGAGTTTAGATACATTTTTCAAAGCATGTTGGAGTTAAAGACTTTTACATATATTTATTTGAAAACTCAAGAAAAATGCTAAATAGTAGAAGAAAATAAAATAAATCTTTTAATCAAGAATTACTATAAGTCCACTTATTAAAACTGGTGAATATGATGATGTTCAGACAACAGTGTTTTAAGGATGTATTATCTAGTGCCTATAATTTAATTTTGGTAGAATAAAAATAAACAACATTAATATTAATAGTTAAGAATATGCAGTTTATTTGGAATAGTTGATAGTATTTTAGAGGTTCTCCTAGAAGATGCATTCAAGAATAAAATAATAGCCGAGACCGGTATGGCTCAATGGATAGAGCGTCGGCTTGGGGACTGAAGGGTCCTGGGTTCAATTCCGGTCAAGGGCATGTACCTTGGTTGCGGGCATATCCCCGGTGGGGGGTGTGCAGGAGGCAGCTGATCGATGACTCTCTCTCATCGATGTTTCTAACTCTCTCTCTCTCTCCCTTCCTCTCTGTACAAAATCAATAAAATACATTTTTTTAAAAAAGAATAAAATAATAAACTAAGTCAAAATAAATAGAAAATATAAATAGTAATGAAAAGTTTAAGAATAATACAAAGTATTACCAATACATATTTATTGCAGAGGAGTCTTGATTTTAAAAATCCCTAGGAAACTGCTATAAGCTATGTATTGATGCCTATAAACTTTTCAAGTAACAACAAAAACTATATTATGCTGTTTTATTTATTCAATCATTCACTCATTCAACAAATATATGAGTAAATAGATGAATAAGGTAGTAATAATTTTATTCTATTACTATTATTTACTTATTAAAATTAAAGTTTGGGTTTGCTTTAGAACTTTATTTTTTGATAAAATATTAAGCATATAATTTGGAATAAAGTTGAAATTAAGTAAATATAAAGGCTCTTTTAATTATGAAATTTTCTACATTGCATCTAGAAGCCCAAAGCAACATATAGGATAAAAAAAAAGCAATTCTTACCTGAGAGAAACTTAAAAGCCTTGTAAATAAATGGTCACACTGAAGTTAGAGTAATAAATTAGCAAAAAAGTGCTAATATTGTCTAATATATTTGAAATAAATCTTTGCCTTTGAAAAGAGACGCTTGATTTCTTTAAATATCACTTTCTTTTAGAGGAAGATTTTAAGTTAAAATGTAGTTCATGTGTTATTTCATTCACAAATAATAATCTATTTGAAAATTAAATGCTCATAGACTTCTTTCTTCCTTATATAAGCATATATAGGCCCATCTCGTATGTGACTCTGTACATTAAAACCACAAGAAGCCCCGTCTTGCGGGAGAGCTTCTCTCATTCATCCCTCTACTGAACTGATTACTTATTAAAGGAAGGGGAGAAGTCAAAGCTCTTTAAAGACAGAGATTCTATTCTTTCCTCATCCTCTGACACATTAGGTACTCATAAAAAGCCCAAAGTAATTATACCATTAAGAAATCTTACTCCTAGAGCTGCTTTATACCCTCTATCTTTTAGATGTCCTCATCTTTCCTGCCAGACTCATGCACCATATTTGGTTCCCTTTAATTTCCCCTACTCCTTTAGAATGAAATTCGCTTTGTATATATATAGTCTTAAAGCTAGTAACAGAAATGGCTCCAAACATGTACTCTTTAGCACTACAAGATAAGGCCTCCATAAATTCTACATCAAAACTATTAACAAATTTTTTTGTAGAAGTAGCATTACACATGGCTTCTAAGTTTCACACCACTGCTTTTTATAACACTACTTTTCAGGTATGTGGTCCTGTCTTTCATTAATATTATGGTTTAATAATTTTGTGGTCTGGTCATTAAATCTAAATTAACCAAAATTTATTATATAACTAGAGGCTTGGTGCACGAAATTTATGCCTGGGAGGGGAGGGGTTGTGTTTCCCTCAGCCCAGCCTGCACCCTCTCCAATCTGGGACCCCTCAAGGGATGCCTGACTGCCCATTTAGGCCCAATCATGATAGGATCGGGCCTAAATGGGCAGCTGTACATCCCTCTCACAGTCCAGAACTGCTGGCTCCCAAATCTTCCTGATTGCCCCTAACCGCTTCTGCCTGCCAGCTTGATCACCCCCTAACCATTCCTCAGCCAGCCTGATCACCCTTAACTTTCCTCCCTGCAGGCTTGATCACCCCCAACTGCCCTCTCTTGCAGGCCTGGTGCCTCCCAACTGCCCTCCCCTACTTGCCTGATCTCCTCCAACTGTCCTCCCTTGCAGGCCTGGTCCCTCCCAATTGCCCTCCTCTGCTGACCATCTTGTGTCCACATGGGAGCAGCCATCTTTGACCACATGGGGACAGCCACCTTGTGTGTTGGAGTGATGGTCAATATTATTCTTTTCCCCCCTCTTTTTTATTAGATAGGATTCTCCTAAGAAAATATGTCTTGAGTTCCAAAGAACCAAGTTAAAAAATATATGCATCATAATTTTTCCATCAATTGAGGAAAAGTGATAGCCTAAATTCATCAATCCTACAAACAATCCTTTCATTTTAAAAAGTTTGTATTTTAAGCAGAATTTTTTAAGTCTCTTACAGGATTTTCCTAAGGGAAATAGAAAGATTCAAAGTATAAGAAATAATAGTAAGGAAAAAGAAAATTTCAGAGGATAGTAATCTAAAGGCTTTCACACTTCCATTTTTATCTTTAGAAAGAACACATGAGCAAAAAAGAACAAACACACATTCCTATTGGTTGTGTTTCTGTGTATATATTGGGATTTTTGCATCAAATATCCTAGACAATTAATACCTGCTTCTTGGTAAGTTAAAAAAGTATGAACTGAACTAATGGAATTAATCAAACCCTCTGGAGTAGTTGATGATAGGGAATGGCACAATATCCAGCATTTTCTGACAGCTGAATTTAAGTAAGGTACAAATTATTATACTTTCTTATAGTTCTTTTGCATTCCCAAATAGGCAATTATAAAAATAGGCTAATTAGTCTCAAACCCAAGAACTATTTTCAATAACAGTACCTATTTTTAAATGCATCAATATTATAAAAGACTGAGATTCTTGAGTAACAAAAGAAATAAACAAACAACCCTGAAAAATTTTAAGATTTAAAATGTAACTTCTGATTTATTCAAATGTAAAATAAAAATAATTTACTCGGTTCCCAGGTTCAATTCTGGCCAAGAGCACATGCCCGGATTGTGGCCTCGATTGTGCAGGAGGTATCCGATTAATGATTCTCTCTTGTCATTGATGTTTCTATCTCTTTCTCTCTCTTCCTCTCTGAAATCAATAATATATATATATATATATATATATATATATATATATATATATATATATATATATAAAATAATTTATTCGGGCTGAAACCGGTTTGGCTCAGTGGTAGAGCATCGGTCTGCGGACTGAAAGGTTCCAGGTTCGATTCCAGTCAAGAGCATGTACATAGGTTGTGGGCACATCCCCGGTAGGGGGTGTGCAAGAGGCAGCTGGTCGATGTTTCTCTCTCATCGACGTTTCTAGCTCACTATCTCTCTCCCTTCCTCTCTGTAAGAAATCAATAAAATATATTTTTTAAAAATAATAATTTATTTTAAAGAGATCACTAAAATGTGCTTTTATGATGAGCTATAACTTTTATTTAAAATAAAAGCTTATTAAAAAACTATCATTGAAAATCTAAGTAAAAACTTATTTCTGCTAATCCCAATAATTTGTCTTCTGTGAAATTATGTATGTACAAGGATTTTGCAAACTATAAAGGACATACAAAGTTAAGGCAATACGATTTTTTAAAATTTATTTTATTGAGATAGGAAAGGAAGAGGAAAGAGAGAGAACTATCAGTGATGAGAGAGAATCATTGATTGACTGCCTTCTGTACACCCCTACTGAGGATTGAGCCTGCAACCTGGGCATGTGCCCTGAGCGGGAATCGAAATGTGACCTCCTGATTCACGGGTAAATGTCAACCACTGGGCCACACCAGCTGGGCAAGACAATATAATTTTTTTTTATCATCTACTGTAACATATATGCAGATACTATTGTTGGATTAAAATTAAAGTTTAATTCTTTTTTGAAATGAAATAAATAAGATCTGAGTTCACTTAAAACCAAATGTATATAAAAATGTCCCAAATACCAAATACCTATACTCTTCTTCAATTTTTAAATATTTGGAAGTATGAGTTTAATTTATGTTCCCATTATTCTATAATTACATTTGCTTTCCAGTATACTTTCTGATTATAGTTAAAGTAGATTTTTTTAATAAAAGCATATGTTCATATATTATCAAAAGACTCATTTCAAACTTAGCATCAAGAAGTTAGCTCTCAATATCATAAATTGCAGAAAGTAATTACCAAATGTGGAAAAAGATGGAACTGAGAGAAGGAAAAGTGAAGCACTTAACATTACAGTTTTAGTATAGAAAAACTATGTCAAAGCTGATAACTAGTAATAGGAGAATGAAGAAAATTACTTGACTATAAGATAGATCTGACTACTTTAACATACCTAGTTCTAGTTTCTGACAAGAGGGTATCTCTTCTGTTACCGTGATGAAGTAGCTGTGCAATCCCTTGAAGGCTAGCAGCAAAGTGGCACAAAGTGTATAATGAAAATGATAAGCATGATGTAGGAAGGAGTCTGCAATAATAAAGCTGCAACCCTAAATAAAGAATAGATTTGGGATATAGAGTGTTAGTAACCAAAATATAAAAATGTTACATTGAAATTTAAGAGAAAAGAAATGAAAAACTTAAGCATTTACTAATTACAGCTTTGCTAAAACATAATATGGCAATATTTTAAGGAGTTGCTCTTACTACAAGCAATTTAAACATGAAATGCAACTAGCAATTTCAGTGACAGATTTTTAAAACAAGCAGATTATGAGGGTTTAAAAAAAAAAACAAAAAACTTTGAGGTTCAAATTACATTTGGACTGAGGGACAGATACTCTACTTTTATAGTATAAGTAGTGTCCTGGTGCACAGATTTGTGCACAATGTAAGAAAATTAATTAGAAGAAATATTTTAATATTGCTATTCGCCCTTTCTCTATAATAGAAGTATCAACCAAATTCACGATTGACAATGACAGATTGAAACATATGCGTGCGATTGGCGCCAGGGAGAGCTTTATCATGCATGGGTGAGTGAACTTAGCCTTTTATATATATAGAATAAACTTGCTTAATTAGACTTGCTTTCTGATGTAGCTAAACTTTTCCCAGCCCAGTGAAGCACCCCAACTTCTCTTTCAGGTAATTGTTAGCAACACAGCAGTAAATACCAACACGAAGCAGATTATTATTATAGATCACTCAGGGAGAACAAAGGGTAAAATGTTTAACTGTAGCAGTGTTTGACTGTATTCTGCACAGTGAGAAAACCTGAAGTCATTTTCAAGGTCCACCATTCCTTACTTCTTTTCAGTTGGGTCAAGTTTCTAAACTTTCTAAATCTCTGTTTTCCAGCTAATAAAAAGAAAATAGGATCCTACTGAGTCTTTTATCTACCTACTTCAGGAGTTCTGTGAGGATCAAATGAAATGAGGCACATAAACATTTGATTAAAGTTGTGTTCCTGGGCTAAAGAAACTCAAAGGAGACTAGTTGCTAGAGAGAGGAAGCCGGGCATTGCTATGTGATGTCATTACATGGAGCCCACAGCAACCTTTTCTAGCTGGGCTGTGGGCTGCATTTTGCGCCATGGGGTCTTGGCAGCACTGGCTGTGATTTGATGGGGTATTGCTCCAGAGTGGTGGCAGGGCCTGTGTCCCTCCTGGGGGAAGCCAAGTGTTGGTTTGTTGGTGCCAGGTCCGTGGTGCTGTTTATTTTTAAATGGCCAGTGCGTGTCATGGCAGCTCTTGCATTGAGCATCTGCCCCCAGGTGGTCAGTGCGCATCATAGCTACTGGTCAGATGGACAGTAGCTATTATTCCTTTCAGAGGAATAATGGCTATACTTGTACTATCCTACAAGTTGGGCCTAACTTTGCCAAATGTTCTTTACAGGCACTTTTGGAATGATTCTAGCAGTTCTGTTAAGAGAGCAAGAGGTGTCAGTTACAAGTTTAAAAAGGCAAAGATCTCTATCTATTAAATTTGGTAAAATCTTTAAGTAGCCAGTTAAAATTTCAAAATAAACAACTGGAACCAACCAATTTGTTAGAATCATATTTACCGTGTTTCCCCGAAAATAAGACATCCTCCAAAAATAAGACCTAGTGCATGGAAAGATAAGACATCCCCTGAAAATAAGACCTAGTGCAACTCTGGGAGAAAAAATTAATATAAGACACTGTCTTATTTTTGGGGAAACAGGGTAATTAGGTCTATAAGTTGTTGAGCTCAAAAGATTAATATAAAAGAAATATCACATTCACAGATAAAACATTAAAGAAACATCTCATTTGAAATAAGAAGGAAGGATCTATAAACATATTAGTTCTTACATCTGGTGATAGCTGTTTTGTGTAGTTAATACCGAAGACCACACTTTCAAGAGTTGGAATCACAGAATCTCTGTTTTGTGCTGGTGCATTTCTATTTAACCAAGTAGTCTTCACAGGGCGAGGAAAGCTGGAGGAATAAGTACATTATGATCACAATAGTCTACTTGAATAATAATTTAAATATTTAAAAAGAAAAGTCTTATAGGAATAGAATAAAAAGCAAGGGTTTTGCAAGTTTATGATTTCTAAAGTACTCCAAAGTAATTTTTCCTTTAGTAATTAGAATTATTATGAAAAGACACAATGAATATATATTTTTTAAAACTAAGATTAGATGCTTGAGATTATTTTTTTTTATAACTGGGCTTCAGGGAGCCTCAAAGGATCCCAAAGATAAAACAGCGGGATCCAGAGTAGTTAAATGACAAATGAGGGTCAAGCTTTAATTTGGAAATAACGATCTGTCAGAACTGGTTACCAACTTTATAAAGTTAACACTTATGTAATCAAATATGGATACTACATAGAGAAGTTGAGAGCTCCCACATTAAATGTAGGGAAATTACTAAATTTATTTGTGCCTCTATTTCTCGAAAAAAGGTATTTTCTTTCTCTTCACTAAAAGGCTATGAACTATTAAGATATTCTTTATATGTGCTTCAGGGCACCATCTCAACCATATATTATATGAACCACTGTTGCTAGTATTAACATTACATTTCATATATAAAATTCTATAGAAGAAGTCTATCCTGTTTGAAAGTTTAAAAATCATACACAATATTATTTGAGATAAAGTACTGGCTAATCATACACAGGCCAAAGCATATAGACTATTTGGCAATGTGAAAAAAGGGAAAAGACAAGAAAGTAAATCAGTTTTGCCATAAGCTGAGAATAGCCTTCATCTGCAAAATCAAAATTCCCAGTAAAGAAGGGAGCAAGTCAATGGTAAATTCCACTTGCTAAGATGCATTTTTGAGAACTGAGTTATAAAAGTTGTACATAAAGAATCTATAATAATAAAAGCACAATATGCTAATTGGAATGGGGGAAGCCGGGCTGAAAGGGAAGCCCGGGTCCCGGTGCCTGAGGGAAGCCGGTAAGGCAGCTGGGAGAAAGAAAGGCCTCCTCTTGCACAAATTTCGTGCATCAGGCCTCCAGTTCATATATAACAAACAGGTCACATAAAAAACAAGCAAACAAAGAAATCCTAACCCCACTTAATTTTACATAACTGATTTAATGGCTATAGTTGGGTTGATCATATAAATTATTTAATGAAAAGGATAATATTATAAATTAAAATTTTTTCATTTTGTTTCAAGATAAAAAATTCACCTATAATAAAACTTCAGGAAAAACTTGACGAAGCATAATGAGGAACATTACCCTTAACATGACCCCTCTACCAGCACACCACCAGCAAAAAGCTGTCCCTTACCCTCTCCTTACTTCCCTTCTCCAGCCTCACATACAGGCAAAGAAAGGCAGAGAAAGATGTTGCTTCTTTCAGGGCAAAATTCTAGCAGCAAGAGAGGGATATCAGGGCCCATGGCAGCTAGGTAAAGAACAGAACCTCAGATGTTGCAGGCCCCTAATTTTCTTTCCCAATCACTAACCAGAGCCAACACTTAATCCTCTTGGCTTCTGATTCTGAGCCAAAAATGTCTTCTTCCAGCAAACAGTCTCTAGGAGATGAGGTGTCCCTTTCTCCTACTAGTCTGTGGTAAAAACTGCTGCATTACAAGAGGAAGTACACATTTAACTCACTAGGATTAGTATGAATATTGCTACTATATGTATTCAAGGTCTTAGAAAGCAACATTAATAATCTGAGCTAATCTCTATGAACTATGTATTTTTCAGAAGAAAAACTAAGTCAGTGCTATAAAGAAAAAAGAATGGTAGATTTAGTTAGGGATTCTTATTGAAAATACAAAAATAAGAGCTTCATAAAACTACAGAAATGTATTTCATAAACTTTCATCATTATAACCTAATATGCAATTCATATAAAATTAGCATTACATACTACTTATTTCAAAGTTATATTTCAAAAACCACTTTCTTGTTAGAAAGTTTCATTCAGTTATCATATTACATACTAATTCAATCAAAATCTAAAAATTTTTGAAGAAGTTTATGATAAAATAATATATGATAGTACATGGTTCTATTTACAGAAGTTACAAGCAATCGAGAAAAAACACTCAAAGTGCCTAAGAGGTAAGACAAAGATGACCAAAGATTAGTTACTCATTAGAGAACTAGATCTTACTAGAGAATAAGGAAGGCAACGCAAGTCATCAAACAGATCTCTTCCTGGCTCTCTGCTCTAAAAGAGTTTATGGGAAAATACTATGGAAGAGGTTCTCACTTAAGTTTTTAAAACAATAAAGATATGCCACAGGAGGCTCTTACTTATGGGCAATAGGTTAAATTGTGGAGGTATTCTGCAAATTCTGAGGATAATTCTACAAAATTACCTACTCAATGTTCCCCACAAATTAGTCTAATATCATAACCTTTAAGCCTCATCCCTAATATCAGTTGCTGGAATCACATTTGTGTCAGAAATTATAAAATAGACAATTCAAAAATCCAATGAATTTGGAGTCTTTTCATATATTACTGATTTGAAGTGTCCATGAATTTCCCATACCATAGGAAAATGTTCTATTATAAAAATGAGAGCTTGAATTGTATTCTTACATTAATAAAAGAAAATGTATCTCCCCAGGGTAGTGGGCAGAACAAAATAATATCTCCGATGCATTTATGATGATCCAGAATTTTATGCACTTTTAAGCTAAAGTGATATACCTAAAATAATTTTAAAAGATTTAGTCAAGATGTATTAAAATTGATTGACTTAGAAGATAAGAATTATATTGTATAGATTTAAGAAGATAAAATTAGTCCATCCAGACAAGAGAGAAACAAAAATCTAAGAAAAAGTTAATATACTTTTCCAGAGGATGAATAATTACAGTGTAGCACTGCATGAAAACATAAATTCAGACTAAACAATAATATATAGTTATTTCCAGACTGCATTATTTTTCTTGGTCAGTTTATCTGTCAATGATTGCTGCATATTTCTTTCTTTTTTTTTTTTTTTTAAATATATTTTATTGATTTTACACAGAGAGGAATTGAGAGGGACAGAGAGTCAGAAATGTCGATGAGAGAGAAACACCGACCAGTTGCCTCTTGCACACCCCCTACTGGGGATGAGCCCGCAACCAACGTACATGCCCTTGACCGGAATCGAACCCGGGACCTTTTAGTCCGCAGGCCGACGCTCTATCCACTGAGCCAAACCGGTCCCGTGATTGCTGCATATTTCTGTAACAATAAAGTTATCATTCAAATGTTCCCATATTCTTCAATTTTATTAATTGAATATTTTAGTATAAAATAAAAGTATTTATTAAATAACTATGAATTAGAAATTCCTTAGTTCTTCAGTTATCTTTATCAAAGTATCTGTTTTCACTATAAAAATAAAAGATAATACATTAATAAAGACCAGGTATTGGGTTAAATTTACCTTATTAGTGGCTGGTGTAGTGCAACCAAAGATGCATGGACTGTAACAGTCACAACAGAAAGGTGGAAATAATCAAACATAACATTAACATGATGATGAAGACCTCTATGGATGTTAAAGTGCAGCTTCAATGTTCGGCTACTTATTAGTTGCAAGGCATTCAGATCATCTGCCCTAGAAAAAGCAACATATGTGCAAATAAGTATAGAATATTTCCTAAAGGCTAATATTCTGTAAAGCTGTTTAAACTATTCAAACATTTAGTTACTTATTTTTTAAAAACTGATAATGTAAATAAATTTTAAAGCATGAAGCTCATGGCATAAAGGAGTATGCCTAACCACTGGGGAAATGTTGAATTCTAAGAAGTAAATGAGGAATCTAATATTAACAGGTAATAGTCACGATTAACTATGGATTTTTAATTGTTTTGTTTGCCTACTTACGAATAATCTCCATCTGTAAAGTGCAAATCCAAGGATAACAGAAAACCCATTTCCTCAAGAGTTTCTTCAATCTGAAGAAAAATTATAATACAAAGTACTTTTAAAATATTTATAGAAATTATAAATATGCCTTGAGGCTTTACAAAATAGTTATCTAAATATATATAAAGAGATATTTACCTTTTTTTCATCCAACAACATTTTAACTTTGAAGATCATAACATCATTTAAAGCAACCTCCTCATTTTTATATAGAATTTGAAATGTTTTACTGCAAACCAGAGAATCATGAACTGAAGCTGGAAAGGCTAAAGACGTACCTAAAACAAATAAGATACATAAGTGACAGGTAAAGGACAAAAATATATTACAAGTAAATTAAAACTTTTATCTTAAAACACTATAAACTTAATTATATCACTCTAATGCCAATATCATTTTATTTAGCAATATTAAAACATTTCTGATAATTTATTCATTTCTATGATTAAAAAATGAGAGATAAGTACATTATAATCATTATTAAGTTGTACAATTATCTTAATCCAAAAAGGTAATATGGAAATCACAAAGTAGATATTTTAAAAGTAAAAAATTGATATGTATACCACAAAAGAAAGCAAGTTAGTTTTTCATAGCTTGCATATTAAAGAATTTGGTTTGCTTTTGTCCTGGTTGCTAGGAAGTAACCTCTACACCTTGGAATAAAGAGATACTAGGTATCTCTAATACTACCAACAATAAAAATATACTTAAAAAATAAATAAAACAAAACAATGACAAAAAGGAATCTGGCTGGTCATTGTCCCTGACTTCTGGAAGGTGATCTCTGAATCCTTGGAAGTGTCTCTGTTATTCATAGTGGGCTCTGAGAGTTTATGTTAATGAGGTGATTCAAGGTGGGCCCCTAGATAATTTATGCTAAGGAAATTCAGGATGGGAGTTGGCCCCACCAGTAAGACCAACCACATGATTAGAGCTGGGACTTTGAACCACATGATGTAAATCCAACCTCCAGGGAAGGGAAAGGGGCTTGAGATGATGATTCAATCAACCATGCCTATATAATAAAACACAAATAAAAACGTTGGACATTAAAGTTTGGGTGAGCTTCCCTGGTTGGCAATATTCTATATTTTGTAACATATCAATATTCTGGGAGGGTAATGCATCCTAACTCCATGAGGAGAGAATAACAGAAGCCTCACAAATCTAGGATCCTCCCAGATCTTGCCTTATGCATTTCTTCTTTAGATTTTAATTTTATCCTTTTGCTATATAATAAAACTGTAAGACAAGTAGAATGCTTTTCTGAGTTATATGACTTATTCTAGTGAATTGTCAAACTGGCAGGGGTAATACAGGAACCAAATTTTATAGCCAGCTGGTCAGAAGTGAGAGTAATTTCAAAGACCATGTCCTTAGCCTATCAAGTATGGTCTGCCCTCTGAGTTGTTGGTATCAAGTCACTCCAACAGGCCACTTGCTGTCTTATTTCTCTATCCTCAGATATAACATGATATGAGGATCCATCAAAGAAACTGGAGATGTTTAAGCCAGAGATAAAGCAAGGTAGGCATCTCTATGGGTCAGCAAGCCCAGTGTGGGATATCAGGGTCCAACTGGAATATAGGAGGGTGGTCTATTCATACTGGGTGGTAGTCTGATGTCTGAGCCTGTGCCTGGTAAGAAGAGCAGCTGTAGTTAAGTATCAGAACCTGAGCAGGGTGAAGAGGGCAATCTAGGTGAAGGGGTGACTTAAGAGTGAGGTATTGGTAGCCACGCAAGCTGAGGAGGGAAACTGAATGGGAGGGTACCTAAAGTTGGAGAGCTGGAGTTCAAATTAGGTAAGGAAAGTGTCCTTGTAGATAGGCATCTGGTATAGGGTATAGGAGTCCAAAAGAGAAGACAAAACTTTCATATGGGGAGAGGGTAAGTATGGACAGTCTGACACACTCTGATTGAGCCCAAGTAAGGTAAGAAGGGTGTCCGCATAGGGAAGTCAGCTGATATGAGGTGCTGAAGCCCAAGTAGCCCATGACGGAGAGGGAATAGTGACAAGGACTGGCACATATAATATAAGGGACTGATTAAATAAGAAAATATATTAAGGATGTTTAAATATACACATGTGTACAAAATGCACTCACTAGCTGTGTCCACTTAAAGGGTCTAGGATCAGGACAGCCCCAAATACTGATTTTTAGATACTATTATCTAAAAAGGAATCAAGGCTTTTAGAGAAATGGCTGAATCCAGAGCTGTGGCACCAATAGGATGAGAAAAGCCTGGTCCATCTTTTTATACCAGAAAATAAGAAAGTGCTAAAAGAATGAGAGGACACATAAAAAATACATAAATGCCTTCATATAATTCTGTAAATTACATCTGCACTGAGTGTTCCAAAGAAGAGCAGCTATAGGATCTTATAATATGAGAATGAGCCTGGTCTGTGGAGTCAGGAAAGCTTTTGTTGACAATATAGCATTTGAATTGAAATACCATGATAAAGTATTAGTTAAATAAAGATGGAAAGAAAGAGCATTACATTTCAAGAAGGAACTGAAATTTATTGAAGGCAAAGCTCATGTCTCATATTTCTTACTTCATATAATATGAACATGGTCAGCACAAGTGGAAAAAAATGGAACCCGTGTACACTGTTGATGAGAATGTAAAATGATGTACTTGCTATTGAAAACAATATGGAGGTTCTTCAAAAAACTAAAAATAGGACTACCATTAATCCAGCAATCCCACTTCTGGAAAATAGGATCTCAAAAGACATGTATGCATTCCCATGTTCGTTATAGCAATTTCACAGTAGCCAAGAGGTAGAAACAACCAAATGTCCATTAATGGATAAATAAAGAAAATAAGGCATAGGATGGAATATTTTTAGTCTTAAAAAAGAAAGAAATCCGGTCATACAACATGAATGAACTATGAGGACTGAAACTACACGAAATAGGCCAGACAATGATTCTACTTGTACTGAGTTTATCTAAAATAGTCAAACTGACTAAAACAGAAAGTAGAATGATGGTTGCTAGGGGCTGAGAAGAAGGGGAAATGAGAAATTGCTTTGTATGATATAGTTCCAATCACACAAGATGAAAAAATTCTAGTGACCTTCTGTATAACAATGTACATGTAGTTAACAACACTGTACTTGTACCCTTAAACATTTGTTAAAAGGGCAGATTTCATGTTATGTTTTTGTTTTGTATTAGCCACAAAACAAAAGGAATGAATGTTTTACTCTGGAGTGTTAATACCCCAGGGCAATATCCTATAAAATAAAATCCCAATATGCTAAGTGTCAAATCATTCATTTGACATTCGACCAGTTGCTATGATGTACGCCGACAGGTAGGTTAGCTTGCTCTGGGGTCTGGCTGATCGGGACTAGCCGAGACGGGCCAGTCACACCTTGGAGCTCTTCTGCAGTCCCTCTTGGCCCTGATAGTGCACCGGTGGGGTCTCTTGGCTGAGCCTGTGCCCTCTCGCAATCCGGGACCCCTCTGGGGATGTAGGAGAATTGGTTTCAGCCTGATTCCCAAAGGCAAGGCCAAGGGACCCCACCAGTGCACAAATCCATACACCAGAAAAGCCCTGAGGTTTCTGTCCTAAGATAAATAATAATCTTCCTGACATTCTGTATTTGGGCCTGAGTGCCCATCTATACCACAGCTTACACAATTACAAACCTTTATCCCTGTTTTCAGGCTCACCTTTCACCTCCTTTCATCTATTATACCTGCCTAAAATTTCTGGAAGGTGTTCCAGAAGGTAGTTTATCTCACACTTGAGTTTTCTGTCCTTCAAAAATTTATTGAAATATTTGTCTGCTACTCCTTTTTGTGCTTTTATATTGCTATTACTAAAGAGTATTGGAAACAAAAAAAACCAAAGCATATATAGTTTGTCTTGAGTCTGAAGCCCTCTTTGCTTTTAATATTTACTAGATGATACTCTGCCTATGAACTTAGGAACCACTTATATCTTTTTCATTGCTTTAATTTAAGGGTAAGCACTATGTTTTATACATAATAGGCACTTAGCATTATATACTCAAAGGAAAGAAAAACAGAGTTTTCAATAGATATATGTACTCTCATTGTTTACTGCAGCATTATTCACGACAGACAGGATATGTAAACACCTGAATGTATAAAAAGGTGTGATATGTATTTACAATGGAATATTACTCAGTCATGAGAAAGAAGTATATCCTGCCATCTAACAACATAGATTGACCCTGAACACATTATGCTAAGTGAGATAAGTCAAATAGAGAAAGACAAATAGTATATATCACTTAAGTAGAATCTAAAAAAGTCAAACTCATAAAAAAAAACAGAGTAAAATGGTAGTTATCAAAGGATGGGTAATTTGGACATAGCTAGTTTCATATTTTGTTTTGCCACCCAGCTATGTATAAATTTAAGGTGTTACTTTGATACACTTATATATTGTAATATGATTGCCTTTGTAATTTTTACATGTTACTTTGATACACTTATATATTGTAATATGATTGCCTTTGTAATTTTTTACATTACATAATTATAGTGAACTATTTTTTAATATATTTTTATTCATTTCAGCGAGGAAGAGAGAGTTAAAGAGATAGATAGAAATATCAATGATGAGAGAGAATCATTGATTGGCTGCCTCTTGCACGCCCCCCCCTGGGGGGATTGAGCTTGCAACCCAGGCATCAAGCCCTTGACTGGAATCGAACCTGGGATCCCTCAGTCTATAGGCCAATGCTCTATCCACTGAGCCAAACCAGTTAGGGCTGTAGTAAACTATTGTTGTCTATATACATTATACTGTGCACCAGGCCTCTATCCTATCTAATAAAAGAGTAATATACAGATTGACCATCTCTCCAACACACATTATGGCTGCCCCCATGTGGTCAAAGATCCTGCCCTATGTGGACACAAGATGGCTGGGGAGGTCAGTTGGGAGGGACCAGGCCTGCAAGGGAGGGCAGATATGGGTAATCAGGCAAGTAGGAGAGGGCAGTTGGGAGGCACCAGGCCTGCAAGGGAGGGCACTTGGGAGGGACTAGGCCTGTAAGGGAGGGCAGTTGAGGGTGATAAAGCCTGCAGGGAGGGAAGTTAGGGGTGACCAGGCTGGCAGAGGAGGGAAGTTAGGAGTGACCAGGCCTACAAGGAAGGGCAGTTGGGGGGGGAGGGGGGGACCAGGCCTGCAGGGGAGGGTAGTTAGGGGGAAATAAGGCTGGCAGGGGAATGGTTAGGGGGTGACCAGGCTGGCAGGCAGAAGCGGTTAGGGGCAATCTGGAAAGCAGGCAGGTGAGCAGTTGGGCAGGCAGGCAAGCGGATAGGGCTTACTATATATTTTTAAATTTCAGTTCTTAGGTTTTTCTCCCTGTAAATTTCACATACATTTCTTTTTTCATTTGCTTATAGTAAGAGAGTTAAGAGGGAAACAAGTAATCTATAAGCAAGTCTGTTTTACTGAAAGTCTTAAATATATTTCTTATAAGAAGTATAATGATGCTCTTTGGTATCCTGTATTTGTACAAAATAATTATAAAAAGTCATAAGTTGCCGAAATCCGTTTGGCTCAGTGGTAGAGCGTCGGTCTGCGGACTGAAAGGTCCCGGGTTCAATTCCGGTCAAGGGCATGTACCTTGGTTGCAGGCACATCCCCGGTAGGGGGTGTGCAAGAGGCAGCTAGTCGATGTTTCTCTCTCATCGATGTTTCTAGCTCTCTATCTCTCTCCTTTCCTCTCTGTAAAAAAATCAATAAAAATATATTTTAAAAAAAAAGTCATAAGTCATTGGCTAGTATAATGTTTCAGATCTTTTTTTTAAGTTGAAAATATTCCTTGTTTAAAATATTTCTTGGCTTACCTGTTGCATGAAACAAACTAGCTTCTACTCTGTGGGGAACTCTTGGTGGAATTTTCATAGATGCACGGATCTGGTAAAAACTAAAGCAAAAGAGACAAATAAACCATTTAAAATACGCAATGCCCCAATTTCTATATAGCTATACATACTAAAGAAATAAATTTGATCTGCTAATATCATTCTCCCATAATATTTACCAATGGTAGAAAACAAAATATGAAATCCACAGATTAAATATTAGTGTGGGATAAAACCAAAAGGGAAATCAGTATATTTAAAGATAAATGGGAAAAATGTAAAAAATATATATGGTATTTCTTACTTAAATGAGAGAATGCCATCGCAACCAGAGGAATTAATAAGGCACTTATAGGAATTAATAAGTTAAGAATTTTATTTTTTTAAAGACAATAAAGGATAAATTATTCTATGTACAATTTTGAAAAATGAGTTATGTTAAAAACTGATTTCATACTATAAAAACCTACCCACTCAAAACAAATCTTAGATGTAACATGTTCTCCCTCTATCTGCCTAAAGTTTAATTACTGCTTAATCAATTATCATGAAACAACAATGGTGGCAAATTAAACACTAAGATATTTAGATGAGCAAGAAAAGAACCATAATGAAACATGCACAAAAAATGTTTCCTCACATTCATTTCCATTTACTCCTTATTGGGCTATAATTCCTATGTTATTCAGTAAGATATTTACTGATGTTATTTTTTTTAAAATATATTCTATTAACTTTTTACAGAGAGCCAGAAACATCGATGAGAGAATCATTGATCAGCTGCCTCCCGCACACCCCCTACTGGGGATGCGCCCGCAACCAGGGCACATGCCCCTGACCAGAATCGAACTCAGGACCCCTCAGTCCACAGGCCGACGTTCTATCCGCTGAGCCAAACCGGTTTCGGCTCATCATTAGATTTTTAAAAGATCTGAAACAATATTCTTCAAAAGTCCTCAATTGATAGGGAATCAGATTGAAGAATAGCAAATTAATAGAAGCTGTAATTATACATGCTATATTTATGCTGGTTGACAATAAAAGGGAATGATAATTCACTTAATCCTTATATCCAGTTCCAAACCTCCAATTATTTATAAACTACCTCCACTAGGATATGTTAAAGAGAAAACCACAGGCCCAAATAGTTATTTATGCTAAAACCCATCTCAAAGAACCTAGACTTAATACCTCACCCAACTGCAGTTTCAACCTTTTGTAGGAATGTTATCTTAATTGGTTAGTCTGGAATTTTCTGGCCACTACCTCAATGAGATAATCAGTCAAACAGGCCCTCTCCATCCACCAAGGGAAGTTCAGACAATCTGCCTGATAAGATCCCTTCTTTCCTGTAAGATAACCTTACTTGAAACAACCCTTTATTTTCTAAGAGCTTTCTGGTCTAAAAGCATCTTCCTTCTGGGGTTCCTCTCTACTTGCTAAATGGGATACTGCCTGATTCATAAATCACTCAATAAAGCCAACTATTGAATTTTTATTCATTAACATATCTCATTTCAAACTCAACATAAATGAACTAATCTTGAGTCCTACACCCTTCATCTTCTTCAGTATTTCTAATATTGTCTAAGTCAATGTGATTTAAAACTTCAGCGTTATCTTTTAAATCTCATATTACAAATTCTAAATCTGTAAAAAGTCAAGCAATGAACTGATATGCCCACTACCTATTTCTATCAATTAAAAAATGTTTGCCATGTTTGATTAAACAGTACTTTTTCCCTTTGCTGAGCTATTTCAAAGTAATCCTAGACATCATGCAAATTCATACCTCTTCATATATACCGTGTTTCCCCGAAAATAAGACATCCTCCGAAAATAAGACCTACTTACAGGTTTCCTCCTGAGTCAAATATAAGGCATCCCCCTGAAAATAAGGCCCCCCTAGGCTAAACATGAGAGATTTGGTCCACTGATTCTGAAAGAAATGGAGTCACAAGAAATTCACCAGGAAATTCAGGAATTGGATTGTTATGATGATGTTCCAGAAGATGATGACATGATTGTCATTGAATAAATGAGTAAATTCTTGATACTGTAGGGTTCACAGTTTGTCTGGTTTGTGTTGACAACTACCATACTACCGTACCGTATACAGATAATAAATTTCTTTTATTTTCATTTAACAATAAATGTGTACCGTATTCTTCTTCATGGAAAAATAAGACATTCCTGAAAATAAGACCTAGCGCATCTTTGGGAGCAAAAATTAATATAAGACACTGTCTTATTTTCGGGGAAACAGGGTATTATTGTTTTCTCTCAGCATCATCCTCTAAATGGAATCAATCATTAACTCCTACTATTTATTCCCCAAAATGCCTCTAGAAATTAATTAAGGTGTGATAGATTGATTTTAAAAGTGTTTCCAATTTTTCTGCCCATCCCTGTTTCTAAATCTCTTGCAATGTGACTTCCATTAAAAAGTGAGTGTAGTGCCCAACTCCTTGAATCTGGGCCGGCTTTATGACTTGTTGTGGGAAATACAATGTTGCAGAGATGACAGTGTGCTAAAGCCTAGGTCTTACAACGTCTTCTTATATAATTTCTTTCCCTTTGGAAACCTGCTTTTTCCATGAGAATAAGCTGGAATATGAGAGGTCATAAACATAACTGAGTCCATCCAAGTGAGGCAGTAAGGCTATTTTGCATCAACTAGTACCCAGCCAACCCAGAAAAGATTAGTCAAGCCAGCCCAGATCAGCTGACCCACTCAACTGATTTATAGATTTAAGGCAAAAATAAATGTTTATTGTTGTGATGCCACTGAGGCTTTGTATTTGTTGTTAGCTGCATTACTGTGGCAATATAGAATTAATACAGAAATTGGTGCCTAACAAAAACTTGAAAATATGTGGCACTGACTTGGAGACCAAAGTAACAGGTTATAGAGGCAAGAAAAACAAGGAAACTATAGGAGACTTATAAAATGGTAACACGTGCTATGTAGTGAAAACTTATGTAAATATAATGTCAGCAATAACTTAGAAGAATTTAGACAATGTACCTAAGAAATTTTTGTACTTAGCAAGCTAAATTCCAGGCAGAATGCTAAATGTCACTGGCTGCTCTTACCTAAGTATAAGATTTTGCAAGAAGGAGATAAGCTAAAGAAACAAGTGGTCATCTAACAAGCAGAATCTAAGAGACCAGGACTTGCTGGGTTAAAATATAAAACTGTTTCCCTAAAGATTTTTCAAAATAAAATGCAAACATAGACAAAGATCAAATCACGGTTGTGGCTATAAATCCCTTTCTTAAGCCCTCTAATGGAATTAAGGCAGTGTCTAAGAACACGTTTTGTTTGACAAGAGGGTTTTGGGGGAATTTAAGGGCATGATCCCACAGAATTCTGATCCTCCAGGAGTAGTGACTACATCTAGAGAATAGTCATGCCTTAAAATACAATTTTGGGTATAGGTTTCATGGAATGAGTTATATAAAAATATAGATACCCAAGAAAAAAGGAGAAGAAGAAAAAGAAAAAAATATATAGATATCCATAAAGTTTTAAATTTTATTGGCCAAAGAACCACTAGCCTAGACACCTTGTCTGGTCTTTTAACTTGATTAGCCAATAGAATGCAGTAGAAGTAACAAGTAGGGCTATTCAAGGGGCCTTGGAATCCTCTGCTCTTTCTTGCTATCCTGCCTCTACCACGAGAAGCAGCCTCGGCTGTCCTACTGAGGGATGACAGATCATGTGGAGCAGAGCAGAGCACAATTGTTTTGTATTTTCAACAAAATGGCAATGCCAAGCAAAAACAAACAAAAAACAACAAAAGATTTCTCTCATTCTACTCCTGTTAAGTCACAGCTGCACTACTACCATTCTCAGTACAGACCTTTGGGTATATATCTTGAGTAAGTGCAAGCACCTCTAAACTGTTCTGCCTGCTTCTATTTCTTATACATAACCAACCATCAATCTAATATATCATAATCTTCATCAAGTTAGTAAGTCCTTATTGTAATAATAGTAATAATTTTTCATTCTTACTTGGAAACCATCAATACCTATCCTAGTCCCTAGTCTCAACTCTTCCCCAGATATTAAAAGGTTTTCACAAACATAACCTCTACTTTTTTTTTTTTTTACTATCTTTTTTTCTAAAGAATATCCAATCTCCTAAGTATTTTTTGAAATAACACATTAATTCCCAGTCCAAGACTTGATTCATGCTGCTCTCTCTTAGATGTGTGGATCTCATACTTTTTTTTTACACCAATAAATATTATGAGAGACTGATATTATAGGATAAACTTATCCTTTGCTTATCCAAGTCTTATTCATACTTTGATCATATCATTCCATAATGACTTTCCTAATATATAACTAGAAATATATTTTTCCTAGAGCACTTCCTACATACACTTACTGAACATTCATCATTTTGTGTCCTTTTTAGTGTTTTAGATATATATTTTATTTTCCCTGTATACTATAAGCTTTTTAAAAAGGAGAAATGAGATCTTATACATTTTCATTAAAGTTCTCTCAATTATTGGTATAACTATATAAACATATGTTAAATATATCCAGTATTATCATTATATCCATGTAGATAATTCTCAAACACATTTAAAAATAAATTTCTCTGAGAAAATAATTACTTGAATATACCTCATTGTTTTCCTTATATATACTGGAACAAAAGTGTGTAATTAAATAAAACTGTACATATTCTCTTATACAAAATATATAGTTTTCACATTAAAATACATACCCTCTCTGAAATAAATCCACATTGTAGAACTTGTTTAGCTCCACGGAGAATTCTACCATTGCTTGAATTTCAGTCATTTTTAATTTATATTCAGAAGACAAATCTGGTAACACCACCGTGGCTAAAGAAGGGGAAAATAATGAGAAGCTCAACAACAAAATGCCAACTTACAAAGACACTACTACTTAAACATATTTGAGTATCATATATAGGCAGACGAGAAAAGTGAAGCAAATTAGTGTATCTAACTTAGACTAACACAACAAAATAGCACCAGAATCTATACTTACAAAGTATACTTACTAATAATATATTTAGTAGACTAGCACTCTATAACATAATTTAAGGTATGTCCTGCTAGAATGCTTTTTCTAAGATTTGTTTCCCTTCGTGGCATATGATAATAAATAATACACCAAATTACTAAAAGAAACTCTTGACTTTATCTATCATAAATAAAATAGTAACCCATTAAGGAAAAATTAAACTACCTAATAATCTTCTTCTAGTTCTACATTGCACATAAAGACAACTCCAAAGTTAACATTCTTTTATCCCCATTTATACTCATGAAGGTTTTTCTCTGTTAGGTGAAGTTCTTAAATGATATTCATCTTTAAATTTCAAAAAAATTTTCTTCCTCATTACAAAAACCTGAAAGCATTCATCTTCAAAAATGTTAAAATACAGATAAGCAAAAAAGAAAACACAATTCTATTCACTAAAATATATACTTTGGTATATATTCTTCATATGTATGTGCATTTGTACAATTTCTATAAAGGGTATCAAACCACATGTGTATTTTATAATCAGTTTATTTCACTTAATTTTTTGTTGTTGTTAATTCTCACCTGAGGATATGTTTTTACTCATTTTAGACAGAGGAAGGGAGTGGGAGAGAGAAAAAGAGAGAAGCATCCTGTGAGAGAGAAACATTGATCAGTTGCCTCCCGTATGCACCTCACCTGGGGATTGAACCCCAAACCTGAGTATGTGCCCTGACCACGAGGGAATCAAACCTTTTCCTATACAGGACAATGCTCCAATCAACTGAACCACATTGGCCAGAGCTCATTTAATTTTTTTGATGAATATCTATGTCAATAAATGTAGTTTTGCAACATTATTTTTAAGTGTTAACTATTACACTTTGAATGTTATAATTGAAACAATCTCCTATTATTGGATATTTCACTGGTTTCCATCTTTCCACTATTTAAAAAAAGCATTGCTATAATCATCTTTATCGATAATACATGCTCTATAAAACAATTCAGAGAAGGAAGTATTGAAAGACAATTTCTAGAGTCTTGTGTTTCTGTATGTCTTGCAGGCAGAGACAATGACTACCTATTGTTCCAGGCTATTTTTCAAGGATGTGTTTAGCAAAAACTAAGGAAATCAGAGATAGTATTTCATTCTAGAACACAGGGCAAATATGTTTACTATCCCAAGTAAAAGAGATAAAGTGTCACCCTGAGGCATAAGTCAGGCAAGACTATTGTCCCCCAAAAAAATATTCAGGTACCCTTAGCTCAGGGTTCCTCTACTATAACACAACCTACTCATATATAGGTGTAGCCTGGTACTCTAGCTACTGCTACTAGTATAAACTATCCTCCTTAATCAGAGTCTCATGTCTTCTGACCACATCCACAGCACTGGTGGCAGGCTAACTTGTTAGCTTGCAAGTGGGATAGAATCTTAGACCCTTCACAGCTCTTAAAATAGTTCTTCATGGAAATTTGACATACAATCTGATTTTTATTAATTAAATGCAAAAGAAATGCCATATTCTTACCTCTACTGGTCAAAGCTTCATTTTAACATTATTAAATAAGAAATCTTGTATTTCCAGTTACTGATTCTTGTTAAAAATATATTGTTTCTCCTATGAAAAAGGAAAAATAACATCTCAAACAAAACAGTAAATATAAGAGTCCTCTTTAAGGAAACCTATGCTTTGTTAGTTATTTAATATTTTCAATATATCTAAGAAATCTATATCCTCTGTAAGGCTTAAGAATAAGTTTTAGAGATTTTGTTTTCATTCACAGTTTCATTAACTATTATATCTTTGTTAAAGATCCACTTGTACATATTTTAAAGCACAATAATAAATAGAATACTACTTTCTTCTGCTTAATGGTTCAGAAAAAAATCATGAATATCCAAAACATTATAAGTCTATTAATTTTTAAGATGCAGAACTCAGTTTTTAAATAACTCCATGGGTAGAGAAATGATTTCAAAATCATTTCTGAATAAAATATGTGCATGCACAAACACACAATAACACATGTGCTAAATTACCTAAAATATTTTGACAAAAATGTTGCCTAGATATGCTATAGTTTTTCCTAAACTCCAAATATTTATTGCTTAAATTAAAAATGAAATCTTTTGCCATTGGTATAATTATTTTAGGTACTAAAAACCTATACATATAAAACCCTAATATGCAAATAGACCAAACAGTGGAACCAAACTGCTCATTATGATGTGCACTGACCACCAGGGGCAGGCATGCACAGAACATGATGGGCATCAGCTGTAGGGGGATGGTGGAGCAGGTGAATGGAGACACCAGACCAAGGTGGGGTGCCAGTTGCTATCATCAGAGTGAGCCGCTGGTGGTTACTAAAAATTCTTTGCTCCCTTGTGCCACGGTCCAGCCCTGCACTCACTCCTGCTGCCAGTGCAGTGCTGGTCCAGATCTCTCAGCGCAGTCAGCAGTTTTAAGCTGCGGCTGCAGGCTCCAATCGCCCCTGGAGGCTCTTCCACCTCCCCCTGCTCCTGAGGGGCAATCAGGGCAGCAGCAGCAGCTGCTTGCATCTACTGACAGCCAGCCCTGCTCTTATCTGCTGCTGGCACCAGTCCCAATCATTCCACACCGTCACCGGGTATGAGAAGGGCCGGGGCCATCGGTGCATGGGAGCAGGGCTGCAGGCAGACAGCGGACTGGGGTTTTGGAGGGAGGGGCCAGGTGGAAGCATGGAGGATGGGCCGAGACCTGCCTCTGCGCCCACCACAGCCTTGTGTCCCACAGTTCCTTTTAAGGTGTATGAAGTCATGAATTAGGGCCCCCACTGTTAGAATAAAGACCATGTGTACTCTTTGGCAGATATTTTCTTCTCTCCATCATAAAAATGTAGACTACCACCTTCCTTAACTGCTATTTTGAACCTTAATAATCACATCAAAAAGCATCAGTTACATATAGTTATGTATTGAGAACAATCAGCCAATGACATATAAATTAATCTTACATTTAAACCTGTTATCTAGTGTAATTCTGGCCACCTAAATTGTTTAAATCTTCATGGTTGGTTCAGTCTAAATATCTGTCGTATTTTTTGATGCAGTTGCCTTTTTGATTGGCTAAGGCCCTAACACTGCATAGTTTCCACTTGTAAAGGTTAAATATGCTAAGTCACTGGATTATATCCTGCTTTAAAAATGGCCAAGCCACCTGTTACTAGTCTGAATCTGAAAATCATCACCATTCAGATGGCTTCAGCCTTCTTTTGCCTTCACAATTATTCACATACATACACACTTTCATCAGTGATATTTCATTTTAAAAAGTGATTTACAGTGAAGATGAGTTTATCAGAATCATTACAATAGAGGGGACACGGACAGTCACTGGTCTAGAAACTTTTGCTCCCACTCCTTAGACATCAAAATGAACTCCTGAGGGCCAGTCATATGCTATACTGAAGAAATTATAGAAATATTAAGAAGATAAAATTCTTCTCTTTTGTGGAGAGGAGAAAAGGTAGATCTTCGAAGGAAAGACAAAGAGAATAGCTTGATAGACAAACTTTTTAAAAACCTCTCCCTTTTGATACCAAATACAGATCAAATAACAATATAAAATAGAAACCAAACAGAACATTCAAAACTTTTTGGAGCACCTACTCTTACATCAGTTAACTTTGTTATTTTATTTAATTATCATAAAAATGCAAAAAAGCTGTTATTACTCTATTTTACAGGTGAGCAAACTAAGAATCAGAATGGTTACATAATTTATCCAAGGTCACATTTAGGAAATAATGAAAAACGACAAAAATCTCAAATATATAAAACTCCACAGTTTACATTTAAATTTGCATATTTCTAAAGCCTACACCTGAATTGGTATAGCCAACAGATTCAATGATCATCAAGCCATAAGATAAATATACCAATAATAAAACAAAAACTGAAATCAGAATGCAACGATGAAAAAACATTTGCCCTTGATAAATCACTACAGTCAATTTTCTATTTCATTAACATTATTCCCTAACCATGAAACATTCTAATTTCCCACATCCCATAAACACCATATCTGAAGTTTTAAAGGCATTGTTCTTGCCCTGACCTGTGTGGCTTAGTTGGTTGGAGCATCATCCAGCACACCTAAAGGTCTTCTTGATTAGGGCACATACCTAGATAGTGGGCTATAATAGATCCTTTTCCTGGTGGAGGTTGGGGGCATGTGGGAGGCAACTCTCAAAACAGAAAACTATTCATTTTGTATAAGTGCGTTAATATAATAGAAAATCCATATAAACTTATCTTTAAAGATAATGTAAAAAAAAAAAGTTAGGAACTTTTGAGACATGGTTGACTTAGTACATGAGTATGAAGTTAAGAAACAGAAAAAACTTTGATTGCTTATTATGGGGCACTTAATGAAAACTACCTCTCACATTATATGGAAAACAGGATTTAAGTTATCAAAAGCAGTTCATATATATAATATTTTTCAGGGATACATCAATACCATAAAATAAACCTGCCAGTAACATAAGACAGAGTGCCTTTGAATATATCATGTTATTATATGCCTTAAAAAAACACACACAAAAAAAAGGATAGCCCAAAGTACCAAAAACTAGTTACTCTTTTTAACATAAAGAGAAATTCGGAAAGAACTACAGTCGTCATCTACTTTCTAGTTAGGGACTCTGCCCAGCATTCCTTAAAATTTAGTGTTATTAGTTATCTCAACTAAGAAAAAAGCTCAGAATGAGAATGAATTACAATCCTCTTTCTGAAAAATATTCTAAGAAACAATGTT